AATGTAATCCTTATGGAAGCAGTATTTGACACATAAACAAAGACATATATGATCAGCTGTTGACTTTTGAATGCAGTAGATAAAGAAATAGCTGATAGCATTATTCCACAGTTATTAGAACAGAAACGGTATGGATCATAAATATTATCAAATGACGACACTAGCTTGAGGTCTGTGACGTAGGAAGTGGGAAGGAAGTAGTAAATGTGGGCAGTCTGGAGTGTGGGAACTGTTTATGACGATTAGATAAGGTGTCTGATCCTAAAATGCTATGGGAAGGGAAGGAAACAGGTTCGCGACGTAGAAAGTGGTGAAGGAAGTAGTAAAGGCGAGCTGTTTGGGGTATGGGATCTGGAGTGTGGGAACTGTTCATGACGATTAGATAAGGTGTCTGATCCTAAAATGCTATTGGAAGGGATGGAAACAGGTTCGTGACGTAGGAAATGGTGAAGGAAGTTGTAAATGCGAGCAGTCCGGAGTGTGGGAACTTTTTATGACGATTAGATTAAGGCATCTGCAATCCTAAAATGCTATGGGAAGGGAGGGGAACAGGTCTGTGACATAGGAAGTGGTGAAGGAAGTAGTAAATGCGTGCATAAGTTTGAAATACCTAGTGATAATGTTAAGGAAGTTAGCATTTTCACTGCCATATCTCCTTAATGGTTAATCTCCACAAAGTGCCATCTAAAAATGTGTGTTTGTTTTTGCAGATGCCATAACCGGCTGTAGGGTACTGTATTTAATTTTCTTATACTCTTTGTAGGGCAGTTTTTGTACCTGATTCACATTAAAAACCCCAGAGATTACCATGAATATCCATCCAATCTTAGCTATGATATACAACAATGCAATTTTTCCTAGTCAAAGTTAATCGAGGAATGTATCCTCTTTAGAGTTATTGTTTTACACCAGAAGAGTCACTTCATTGTTAGTTGTACAATTGAAAGAAAATTGTACACTCAACTTTTGTTTACGAAAATTGTACACTCAACTTTTGTTTACATGCAGATAATTAAATTTAAATTGTTATCAAAGTGCTAGAATTATAGGAAAAGTTGTTTTAAACCTTTGATAGAGAAAAAAAATTGAAATTGTTCCACATGATAAAAGTGTAGTTTTTAAGTTTCATATAAATAAAATTTAGAGTTTGTGAAATGAGTTATGAAATGAAGTTAATCTTCTTTCTTCTTCAGGAAAATAATATCTGTCCTCAACAAAGACTTTATTTCAGTACTCTTTTCAATTGCAAAGGTTTTAGGCTTCTTAACCAGTCTTTATCTCTTGGGATAAAGATTTGTTGCGATTATGGATATATTTAATTAGGAAAATACAGCCAATTTTATTATTTTGACCTGTTTAGCTTACGTCAATATAAAGGGTTTAGGACAATACTTTGATTAACTAAGTTTACGTCAGGGAACCACTACAGTAGACTCCCTCTCATCCGGACACCTTTTAACTGGACATCGGTTTAACCGGACTACACTCGACGGAAATGAAATCTCTTTAACGGGACAATTATTATCAGCACATTGGTTTAACCGAACTAGATCGGCAGGAAGTGGGCGGTACTGTAACGACTGTTCTCGTGGGAAAGATTCGAGACCAGTGATTACATGTCTAAATACAATGCTCTCCTAAATTTAAGTCGAATATCACCGTAAACGGTCCATTTTATTGAGTTTTTGGGGACGTCGGCTTAACCAGAATAACCGTTATCCGGACTGGCCTCGGTCCCAAGGAGTCCGGATAAGAGGGAGTCTACTGTAGGTACATTCGTGTTTCAAAATGTTCATGTTAGTAGCCTAAACTTTTTCTTCTTAGCTAGGCCTATTTTTTTTTAATCTATTGTTTTTTTCCATACAACAAACAAACACAAAATTACATTCACACAAGAAAAATACCTCCGCCGCAGCAAACCTTCAGACTAAGCGAATTCCCATTTGCCTGATTGGATTTACACTAAAATGTCTCCTTAAAAAAAACACACATTTATTCCCTATTTAAATAAAATTAGATTAACGAGTACTTAGGTTTGCTGCAACAGGTAGGGTAAAAAGGTGTTTTTGTTGTAAAATGTTAATAGTTTAGTAAGAAATGAATGTATTTTACATATTCTATCAAAATATGTTCATAAACAAGCAAAGTTGACTTATTCTCCATAAGAATAACATAGGAATTTTAAATTTACAATTTTTTGGAATTTTCTCCGTAACCATTAGGCGCATAATAACGCTTCAGTAAGCCCTGTGGAATGCCATGTAATACAGTTCCTTGGTCACTTATCACGCCGTTCGCCCGTGTACGTTGAGTACGTCCAGTGAGACGTACTCAAATTTTAGGAGAATTTGAAACATTGAAGGCATATAGGCTTGTAAGAACAAAGGCGGTATCATTGGATAAAGGGGATTCATTACTGAAAATAGTGAATAAGTGACTGTATACCAGCGTTTCCCAAACTATGGGTCGCAATTCAACGGTGGGTCGCGGGAGGAGACAAAGCATTAAAAATGTTTTTATTACTGGGACTCGTAATTTTTCATATAGCCTACTGGGAGCAGTCTAGTGAGCACCAGAATAAGACCGAATGGGTATAGGGTTTTTGAGCAAGAATAACGCTGAGCTCTAGAATTGTGATCAAAGAAAATTTCTTCAAAGTTTTAGTTTGACTTTTAATTTAGTACTAGTGGCTTGTAATCTCGAATGAAAAAAAAAAAATTGTAATATTTAAACAAACTCAGAATCAAATTATCTATGTGCCAGGATAGGTATCCCTGTACAACATATCTTTTGTGTAAAAAACAGTTTGTTGTTTTTCTTTGTTTGCTTTTGATGTTATTTTCAATAAATACCTAATTTAAATGCCTCCAGAGGTTTAACTTTGCTAATGGCAGCAAACATGTATGTGAATTGGTTTACTAAGGTAGCCATGGTCTTTTGGTTTATGATGATAAAAAGCCTTCCCTTATTGAAATATGGGAAATTTTCTTCGTCAAGTATGAAAAGTCAAATAAAGGTGTGTTGAGATAAGCTTAGTTCTTGGTCAAATCCGCTAAATTAGCACCCCAACTCAGTTATTATTATTTTTAAGTTTATACTCCTTTTGTAAAGGTTTGACAAAATTAGTGTTAAGTAAAGGCATCCCATTGACCAAACATAACCCTAGATTTGTATCTGATCAACAATAATAAAACTGCTATTAGCCTAGTGTAAGTTTATGTAGTGGTATTCCTCTTAAAGGTGCGATTGACTTTACATATTCTACAAAAAAAGGCCCAATCAACGGCTGATTACTAACTATTTTGCGACTGTTTAGGGTTCCATTGCCCAGTTATCGTAACCAATCACTAAATTACTTTTAATCAGCATCTTCAACATGCATATCTTTGGTTAGTTTTAAGAAACGGAAACTACCTCTAGGTTTTACTGTTATATATGGATGCTCCCTTTACTAGCATGCATGCTAAGCTATATTATTCGAACCTTTTTTGCTTAGAGCAACAGGTTTCTCTATTGTTTAGGTGAAGTGGTGGAACATTATGGCTATGGTATTATGGTAGATGTGTAATGTGTATAGAATACTGTAAATTTAAAAAAGCAAATTTTATCAAACTGTGTCCTCCCTTATTGCAAACGCAAAGCTTGAGTATAACTGCAATAAGCATTTTATACTAATATTCCAACCCCGTACGAAGGACGGGTACTCTGCTAGTTTACAATAAGTTCTTGTAAATAGTAGGCTTAAAATTTTGTGTAAATCATTAATAATTTCTAAAGCAATAGTGTTTTAGACTAGATTTTTTGCTAGCATTTTTTTAATAGCATCACCATCCTTACAGTTTTTATTTAGTTGTATGTTTCTCAGTGTCATGATAATAATTAGGCCTATAATAATAAATAGTTATGGCCTAATATTATTTAATAGGTGGGTCGCAATAAAATGTTAGGTGTTGGTGGGTCGCCAAACCAAAAGTTTGGGAACTGCTTGTTGTATACAAATACAAATTTTAAAAGTTAGATTGGATTCCCATTGTATTTTTTGTAGGTTTATGTTTTTGTGATAAAAAATTGTTTAAATTATAAAAAGTAGTAGGCCTATAGAAAAACAAGACTACTAGCCTAATATTCGTAGTATGGATTTCACCTTCTTTATCCTTATTAAACAACCAACAATACATTTACTTCGAAATGCAGTTATCCATTTATCTTTGCTCAAAAAATAGTCATGAGCAATCAACATAGGCCTACTTCACTTTAAGGTCTAGATACTTTTACACATTTTATAACCTAATTTTCAACAGTAATATGGACATAGGGTAATGCAACCTAAATTCCAAGAAAACACAGGGAACATTTTGAACCCAATTTTGTTTAGAAAAAAAGGCGTATCGATTGTTCTGTTGAAAAACACAAATATTAAAATTTTTTTAGAATCGTGCGCTAAACGTATCACAATCACCACTTTCAGTGTATGCAACACGTCACTGAGGATTCATTGTTTGCATATCGTAGTTAAAAATTATAAAGTTGAATATATTTTCTTAAATTATTCGTAGAAACAAAAGCTCATTAATTTAATGAAAAGTTGTCTGAAATATTTTTATTTAAACAGTAGGACAGCATAATTAAATTTACTTTTTTAGCTCTTGTCCTCTTCATATCAGTACGAAAATATTTTCCCCGCTCAATTGAATGGCTATGAGATACCTAGCCTACAATTATTAATTACTCTAACACAAAACAATGAAAATCTTAACATAGGCCTACCGGCCTACCTTGAAAAATGCACTCAAGATGTAAATATGCACTTCCTCTTCGAATAAGTAGCCTTACATGTTTAATTTAACTGTCTCTTCACTATAGGTTTTCTCCAAAATTGTAAGAACTTAGTACTGCTACTGCTTCAAAAGAGGCCTGGTTCTGTTCACCTATTAAAAAAATGTGTTTCTTAACAAAAAATTGACTCTTGTAGTAGTGTTATCATTTGTATTTTGTTTCAGGTGTGATGATGTAGAGTAATATTAAATACAAGACTTGATTTGCACACTAGAAAACGTAAGAGACTCACGTGTTAAGCGGATGGTATTTAGAACTGGGGAGTAGACACCATGACTATTGCTACGAGAGGACAGGGGATCGCTGTGGACCCGCCTCCTGATGGCCAGAATAATGTACAGGTAACTCACATGCTTACTGTCAAAAACTCTTAACATAGCTCTAAATAGTTTTTAAACATCTCACAAAATGCCTTCATGATTAAACATAATCTGCATGTATAAGTTGCTGTTTTGATCATTGTTATTATTATATTAATAACATTTATACTTGATGTTGTTACTAGTTCAATAAATGGGAACCACCTGCAGTAGTTGCAGGTAGTTTTATCGCCTTTATATTTAACCGACCTCAATTTTTTTAAGCTGTATCAATTAGGGTACATAAAGGAGATGGCTGAGATATATTTGTTATGACTAAAGCAATAAGTTAGATGTAGTCCCAAATTAAACAATTCTATATATAATTCAGTTTTAAAAATCTTTGTACAACTAAATGCAATAAGTTACAAATATGCTTCCAAATGTTTAAATTTTGTCTTAAATTGTACAAGATCTTTAATGTTCAAAGATGACAAACTCGTCTACGACACAGATTTTTCTTATTGGAAATCTTTTGTGAACGCATACAATGATGGTTGATTCACTATACAAATTCAACTATCTGTGCGTTCTCATAAAGGTCTCTTGCCTGTATTCGACAGGTCAGAGAAATACAAACAGGATTTACCCATGCTTTTTATAGATTAAACTAACAAAAAAGAAAATAGCTAGAATAGATTGAACAGTTTAAAACAACTTTCCTATATGCAAAGTCAAACTGAAAGCAAGACGAAAGTCCAAACTGAAAGTCAAATGCAAAGTAACTTAAACTGAAAGCCAAACTCAAAGTCATCCAAACTGAAAGACAAATTCAAAGTCGAACTGAAAGCAAAACGAAAGTCCAAACTCAAAGTCATCCAAACTGAAAGCCAAATGCAAAGTCGAACTGAAAGCAAAACGAAAGTTCAAACTCGAATCCATCCAAACTGAAAGCCAAACTCAAAGTCATCCAAACTGAAAGACAAATTCAAAGTCGAACTGAAAGCAAAACGAAAGTCCAAACTCAAAGCCATCCAAACTGAAAGTCAAATGTAAAGTCAAACTGAAAACAAAACGAAAGTCCAAACTGAAAGCCAAATGCAAAGCCACCCAAACTGAAAGCCAAAGTCAAACTGAAAGCAAAACGAAAGTCCAAAGCCAAAGCCACCCAAACTGAAAACCAAACTAAAAGTCGCCCAAACTGAAAGACAAAGTCAAAGTAACCCAAACTGAAAGCCAAACTCAAAGTCATCCAAACTGAAAGACAAATTCAAAGTCGAACTGGAAGCAAAACGAAAGTCCAAACTCAAAGCCATCCAAACTGAAAGCTAAAGTCAAACTGAAAGCAAAACGAAAGTCCAAGCTAAAAGTCGCCCAAACTGAAAGACAAAGTCAAAGTAACCCAAACTGAAAGCAAAACGAAAGTATAAACTGAAAGCCGCTCAAACTGAAAGCCAAACTCAAAGTCACCCAAACTGAAAGTCAAATGTAAATTCAAACTGAAAGCCAAAGTCAAAATAACCCAAACTGAAAGCAAAACGAAAGTATAAACTCAAAGCCGCTCAAACTGAAAGCCAAAAGTGAAGTCAAACTGAAAGCAAGACGAAAGTCCAAACTCAAAGACATCCAAACTGAAAGTCAAATGTAAAGTCAAACTGAAAGCAAGACGAAAGTCCAAACTCAAAGCAGTCCAAACTGAAAGCCAAAAGTGACGTCAAACTGAAAGCAAACCGAAAGTCCAAACTCAAAGTCATCCAAACTGAAAGCCAAATGCAAAGTCGAACTGAAAGCAAAACGAAAGTTCAAACTCAAAGCCATCCAAACTGAAAGCCAAACTCAAAGCACCCCAAACTGAAAGCCAAACTCAAAGTCGAACTGAAAGCAAAACGAAAGTCCAAACTCAAAGCCATCCAAACTGAAAGTCAAATGTAAAGTCAAACTGAAAGCAAAACGAAAGTCAAAACTCAAAGCCACCAAACTGAAAGTCAAACTCAAAGTCATCCAAACTGAAAGCCAAATGCAAAACTGAAAGCAAAAGGAAAGTCCGAACGCAAAGACAAACCCAAAGCCACCCAAACTGAAAACCAAACTCAAAGTCATCCAAACTGAAAGTCAAATGCAAAGTCTAACTGAAAGCAAAACGAAAGTCCAAACTCAAATCCACCCAAACTGAAAGCCAACGGCAAAGTAACCCAAACTGAAAGCCAAACTGAAAGCCAATAGCAAACTCAAAGCCGCCCAAACTGAAAGTCCAAACTCAAAGCCACCCAAACTGAAAGCCAAACCCAAAATCATACTGAAAGCAAAACGAAAGTCTAAACTCGAAGCCGCTCAAACTGAAAGCCAAAAGTGAATTCAAACTGAAAGCAAGATGAAAGTCCAAACTCAAAACCACCCAAACAGAAACCAAACTCAAAGTCATCCAAAGTGAAAGCCAAATGCAAAGTCAAACTGAAAGCAAAACGAAAGTCCAAGCTAAAAGTCGCCCAAACTGAAAGACAAAGTCAAAGTAACCCAAACTGAAAGTCATCCAAACTGAAAGCCAAAAGTGTAGTCAAACTGAAAGCAAGACGATAGTCCAAACTCAAAGCAGCCCAAACTGGAAGCCAAAAGCGAAGTCAAACTGAAAGCAAGACGAAAGTCCAAACTGGAAGTCAAATGCAAAGTCAAGCTGAAAGCAAAACGAAATGTCAAAGCCACTCAAACTGAAAGCCAAACTCAAAGCAACCCAAACTGAAAGCCAAATTCAAACTGAAAGCAAAACGAAAGTACAAACTCAAAACCACCCAAACTGAAAACCAAACTCAAAGTCATCCAAACTGAAAGCCAAATGCAAAGTCAAACTGAAAGCAAAACGAAAGTCCAAGTTAAAAGTCGCCCAAACTGAAAGGAAAGTCAAAGTAACCCAAACTGAAAGCAAAACGAAAGTATAAACTCAAAGCCGCTCAAAACGAAAGCCAAACTCAAAGTCATCCAAACTGAAAGCCAAAAGTGAAGTCAAACTGAAAGCAAGCCGAAAGTCCAAACTCAAAGCAGCCCAAACTGAAAGCCAAACTCAAAGTCATCCAAACTGAAAGTCAAATACAAAGTCAAACTGAAAGCAAAACGAAAGTCCAAACTCAAATCCACCCAAACTGAAAGCCAAAGTGAAAGTTACCCAAACTAAAGGCAAATGCAAACTGAAAGTCCAAACTCAAAGCCTCCCAAACTGAAAGCCAAACCCAAGATCAAATTGAAAGCAAAACGAAAGTCGAAACTCGAAGCCACCTGAACTGAAAGCCAAATGCAAAGCCACCCAAACTGAAAGCCAAATGCAAAGTCAAACTGAAAGCAAACCGAAAGCCCAAACTCAAAGCAGAACTCAAAGCAATCTCAAAACCTCCCAAACTGAAAGCAAAACCGAAAGCACAAACTGAAAGCAAAACCAAAAGCACAACTCAAAGCAAACTCAAAGCCAAATGAGCGTGGTATATATAAAATAGGTCAGTTGAGTAAAGATATTAGGATATGACTGTGATATGACAAAATAAACAGGCGATGAAATCAGAAGATGGCAATTTGAATTTAAGAATAAGAAGGATAAGAATATTTATTTTCTTCCAGTAATACAAATATTACAATAATTAAAATTACAATGCAAAACACAATAAAAATAAATTGATATTAAACAATTCTATTCAAACTAAATGTCCCACGTGTCAGACTGACTAAGAAGAAAAAAAACACTGGCCTATTCACAACAATATTAACGACAATGATTATTGTTATAACAACAATATTAATCCTATTTAAAAGACACAAAGACACCCTTTTCAATTCTAATTTAGCATGTAGATTTTCTATGTAAAAAATGTTAATTCCAATGAACCCCGTCATTCATAAAATGCAATAAGTTACAAATATGCTTCCAAATGTTTAAATTTTGTCTTAAATTGTACAAGATCTTTAATGTTCAAAGATGACAAACTCGTCTACGACACAGATTTTTCTTATTGGAAATCTTTTGTGAACGCATACAATGATGGTTGATTCACTATACAAATTCAACTATCTGTGCGTTCTCATAAAGGTCTCTTGCCTGTATTCGACAGGTCAGAGAAATACAAACAGGATTTACCCATGCTTTTTATAGATTAAACTAACAAAAAAGAAAATAGCTAGAATAGATTGAACAGTTTAAAACAACTTTCCTATATGTAAAAACTGTGTAGGGTACATGTTTAATTTTTTTATTTTTTTTTTACTAAAAAAATGCTTTAATTTTTTTTGTCAATTATTTTTTTTACAATTAATTGATTTGTAAACATAAATTTTCCTCTATTAATATGACAAAATAGTAAATTGCATGCTGCATAATTCACTTTCAGATAGTAAATCAGTATTATTTGGTCACCACAACTCAAACATGCTTCAGATTCGAAAATAGAGCGAAAAGTTCACTTTCACAGTCCGTCAACTATAAATAGAATTGTATTTAATACCTTGTACAAATCCCTGAACAATTTAACATTACGTAATATGATTTGTCAAGAAGTAATACTGTCCTACGTAAAGTAATGGAACTGTGTAATCCTCGCTTCACCATTGTGCGGGATCTGGTTCATATATCAACATGAGTAATGGGCGTTACTTCGTCCATTACTTTTGATCTGCATCAGTTGTAGCATGTGTTAAGTAATTAATAACGGTACGATTGTATAACAAGCATATATACTCTTTGTAAAATAAATGTAAATGTATTGAAAAAACTGAGTCACAGAACAAACATTACACTATTTGTCTGAATAAGCTTACATCCAACACTTTTCTGCAAGAATGAACTTTGTGTATGATTTCCAGGTCCGTGAAGTTGGCGTACCCATATTAGCGTATCCACTTTTGATCATACCAATCGTTAGTTCATCGTTAGTTCTCGATAGTTCCCAAATTTTTTCGTTAGTTCTCAAAAAATAAAAAAGTTATAGCCGATTATAAGTGGGTACGCTAACTTCACACTTCCGGGTTCTAGCACGCGCCGTTTTCTGAGGAGAAATGTTTACATC